TTGTGTTCCCGTGCTTTTTGTTTCTGTGATTGGAACGGCTCTCTGACAGCTAAATTGATACAGCACTTCATCTCATTGTGACTTTTATTCTTTATGAAAAAAAGAATTTGTAATGCCACAAGTTCAGAAAAGACGTGACCTCACGCATGAATACGCATTGATCTGAGGTTATGTATATTTCATGTGTTACTGATTTGTTTTGACAGCGTTACTTCAGTGTGTCCACTCCACTGAAAGTCGACCCGGGCTTGTCCATTTGCCTGTAGCCAGGATTCATGGTCGGCAGTGAAATGTGTGTTGAAGGGTCTGAAGGAGAGAGTTAATGAAGTAAAAATTAATGAAGCACGTGAGCACCACCATCTCAAGGCTGTAAGCTCCTCCATGCCCCATTTATAATGTATGATCTCAATAAAATCAATCCAATGTACCAGTTCTCACTTAGGGTAAGAATAGATTTACAGATTACAACCCTGTGTTCCCCTGGTCATAATTACACCCACCTTCCCCTCCCCCTCCTGCAGTCAAAGTGTGCTGCTGGACTCTTAAGAGAATTTTATGTGAAGTTTCACAACACTGTGCTCAGACAATGTCATCGTCCTGCTGACAGATTGCTGAATATTCGGCTCTGGTGCTGCAGGTGCAAAAGCCTCCTCTTTAAAGGTATAAGGTGTAGCTACACTTCATTTCTGTCACACATCACACAACTCTTTGAGTGTTTCCTGGTGTGCAGAGTTTCTTGTATTTGATTAAATGTATGTGATATGTGAGGCAAAGCTCTGATGGCCCTTTCACTTTCTCCTCCATTTTTTGAAGACTTGTTGAAAGTTTAAGGAAGATTTAAAGTGCAGCAAGTCGCCTGTATTAGAGCTCCCCCTTCAGGTACCATGAAGAACTATATCTGAACACTGTATCTGGTAGCAAACTCTCAACACCCTGAGAAGCAGCAGCTTCATGTCACAGCATGTCCACATTATTTAGCACCAGCTTCGATAGACCATGGGCATGCATTTTGGTGGCTTCTTTGATTTTCTTTTTTAACCTTTTTGACAATGTTTTGGTGACAAAGACAAGACTGTGTCCAATGAAATAAGCAATTAAAATTCCCATAATACTTTTTCTCAGTGTATTGTAAATTGTGTTTCTTTTCTTTCAGTCGTCTCACTCCTCCTGGAGCTGAAGTTGTGAACCATGTGAAGCTGCAACTACTTTGAAATACAAACATCCCACAATACCAGCTTAACACATTCATGAAATGGATGAATCCCAAGTGGATAAGAAGCTGATTTTGTTTTAGATAAACCCATACAGGTTTTTTTTAGGCGCGCACATGAAAAACAGAATTGTCAAATTCAGCTTCCTGATGTGCCAACCTCTCCACCTCCATGAACAATTCTGTATTTATAATGTCATCTTATCACGCTCGCCTTGAAGGCAGCAGCAAGTGCACTTATGCCTTTCTTTGTTAGGGTGAGTTGGCAATTTCCTGTGAGATGGAGCAACTGCCAGCAGCCCTTTTCTTTGATAATGTCCCTGACACCTGGACCAAACTGCTGTTTCCATCACTTTGCAGGCTGGTACAGGAGGAAAGGAACATGTCATAAGCCTTCTGCCACCCAGAAATGCATTTAACAGCACTCTCCTCACTACGCTTTCCAGGATGTAGAGGTCAGAGCCAGAAGGGAGATTCCTGTGTGGAAAGATATCTTGCTGAGCTGCATCAAAACAAAGTAGGAACAGTTTAGATAATTCCTCGTTTTATTATCACAATTTGTACTTATCCAATTATCTTGTATGTATTCATAATAATCTAGCTTCACGAGGTGTACCATGTTACATTTGTACCATGTAAAGCTGGTTATTAAGCAGCAAGTCTGAAAGGGTGTTTATTACAGAGGCCTGACAGATTGATTCTAAATTATAATTAATCAGTTGATTTTGACCCACAGATTGTGATTGTGCCCTGTGAGTTTCATTTATTCAGCTTTTCTTCCGGCTCTACTACAATCACTGTAGACCTGCAGGACTCCCAAGCAAATTAACAGTCTCCACGCTACCCTGCAGCCATAATGAAAATATCAGTCAATCAAAACCCATATTATGCTGTGAACACTACCGCGTATCTTCAGAGCTGCATACAAATAGAAACTGCAGAATAAGCGCTCAACCTGTTCCAGGATCATGGCTGGCAGCAGGTTAGTGGCACAATATTTAAAAGCCTTGCTGCTCTGAGCACGTCCACCTGAAGCACCACTGTACTGAGATTTTCTACTTTGTTGCGATAAGACAGATAATCTGGACAATATATGCTTTGGGGAAAGTCAGCCTTAATTCCTGGAGGTAGGAGAGCAGGGCATGCTGGGATGCGGGGCCCATCTGCGACCTGTCTGCAGGTCGGCTGATGTATAGCTGCGGGCTGGACGGCCACAGTCAGGGCTGTGTGTTGCTGCTCAGTGTGCCATGGCACTCAGGGCACTTCAACCCCCAGTCCCTCCTTACAGGTACCCCGCAGCCCGACACCGTGCGCTACTCATTTGCTGCTACACTGGTTTTCATAATTAGCGCCGCAAGGCCTCATTAAATCTGCTCTAATGAATAAATATTGTATTTCATAGCCTGATTACCAGATCAGCTCAATGCTTGAGCGTTGTAAACAATTACTTCCCTAAATATTCATCACGCCAAAGTGGATGATCATTGGTATTTAATACAGGACTAGTATTTTCAAGTGCATCTTTATTATACTAATAATAGTTTTTGAAATGTTCCTTTTGGAGGAAGAAAAGAGGAGTTGTTTAATATAAGTTACATTGTATTGGTATCATCATGTGATCATTTTAATTATTTACCATTTTTGTTAATGTATAACAATACAAAAAACCCTGCAATGAATATAATGTTCTACTCATAAATGGGACAAGACAAAATATAACCCAGATACTACAAATGTATCTAATAAACGTGATATTCATTTTAGTATTCCTGGTAATATATGACCTGGCATTTTTTTATGCTTATTGTTGTGTCAATATCTGTGTAATATTGCTGTGTCAATAATATTGCATTTTATTGTTTTGCTTCATTGTTGTGTCAACAGTTGTGTAATTAATAAACACTAGATTTACAGACTTCATTATGAGTAAACAGCAATGATAGAGGACCTATTGGATTTGTGAATTATTGGATTGCAACATATTTTCAGCTAGTCAGTGTTAGTCACAAGTGTGATGAAGAAAATATGAAATGGAATCAATCAATCACTTTAAATCCAAACTTTATAGGAATACTTTCTTACCAAGAGTTAGATAAGAAGATTCCCCCTCATGTGTGTATCGTGCTGAGCATAAAGACTGGAAACAGCTAGTCTGACTCTGTCTAACGGTAATAATATCCTACAACGTCCTCTAAAAATCACAAATTAACATGTTATATTTCACTTAAGAAGTCACTGTGTGAGGCACACTTTGTTGAAAGCTGGATAGCTGTTTCTCCCATCCAGAGTGTCGTTTTGTTTTCAATCTTTATGCTAAGCTAAGCTAACCGGCCGCTGCCTCCAGCGACATGTTTATCGTACACACATGAGAGTGGTAGCGAGCTTGTCACCAAACTCTCGGTAAGAAATAAGTGTATTTTCCTTCAAAAAAAATAAAATAAAGATGCTTATCTCTGTGACTTCAATGTAATGGTAACACACGAGAGGCTCATATTGGGGAAAGTAATGTTAATTAGCTAACCTTCGACTGAGGACCACCCAAAGGATACAAAACCCAATTAACGAAAAATAAGACTGCTGACCCAAACAGTATAATGGGAAATGAAGGATTCTTTCTTTTGGGGCTGAAGAGGCCACAGATTGAGCTGAAACCTACAGTAAGATGAACATGATGTGTGTGTGTGTGTGTGTGTGTGTGTGTGTGTGTGTGTGTGTGTGTGGGCTATGCAGTCACTATTGGGCCATTTTACCATTCATTGATCTAGAAACAGTAGTAATAGTTTTCGTGGTTATCCAGCATCAAACGACACACAGCATACATTAAGTCTGATTTGAATTTAACAATATTTTATCTCCATTGATGTGCACCACATGAGGATGTGATAGTTTTCCAGGTACTGCTAACGCTGCGTCTACAATCCATTTGATAAAGGAGAGCAAAGCAGCTGTCATGAGACCATCCTATAAGGTGATCTGATGTTTTTTTGTGTAAAAGCTCTTGTGTGAATTCACAGTCAACATAGTGCTGGACCATGTACTCATTGGACCGATGGATTCATGAACACCGCTTCAAAGCCTGGATGGTGAGTCGTGGTGAGGGTGTGAAGTTCCCTTTGCACATTTCTCCACTGATTGTCTAAGATGGTAAAGTCAATATTCTGCAGTCTATTCATTTGCTGTAGCCCTATTCTGACAATAGACACTGTGAACTGGAAATAAACATTGCTTTTACCTATTAGTGTGAACACACAGCAAACTCTCTCAGAGACGCTGCTGTGAGACCAAGACCACAACAAGGGCATATAGTCAGCCCACTCGTTTTTCATGCCGCAGGGACATTTTCTACGAAACATCGTAATGGAAACTTGTGTCTCTTAATGATGCTGTGTTTAACATTCTGAACATTATTATTGCAGCAAACCCCTATTTGTTGAATGTAGTGGAGTGATGTCTACCTGAGCAGAGAATGAAGTTGCTCTCCTTCTGTGCGTGTTGTCAGAGCTTCTTCTTGCTTTGTTGACGTAGCCGGGCTAGGACAGGATGGTGTCGTCTTTTTAACATGAGTTTCACCCTCAAACTTACTCTCTACACTGACCACAGCTTGCTAACAGCGGTGGGAAACGTTAATAAACTTCCAGCCTTCACGGTCCTCAAGATCTTCCATCATCATGTTCTCCTACATGTTTCAATAACAGTAATTACAGCTGCCACTGTTCTGGATAGAGTGATAAGTCAAGTCAAATAAAACTGATAATACAGATTCTGCAGTGATTAACACTTTAATGAAAATGTACAGTACAAATCAAGCATCAGCACAACAGATATTCCCATCAACAGTTCAGCGTTACGCTTCCCGTTAGGAGCACAGTGCCTGATAAACACAGGCGGCAGCAGCAGGATAACCTCCACCTGCCATTACACTGAAGAAGAAATCTCAGCCGCTGATTATTTTTGAAACAGTATCATATAATCAGCGTGTCCTGGTGCAGGTCGAATGAAGTACATTTCAAAGATGAGCGACACAAAGGTTAATTCCATGTCATTCCGCGTAGAGTATCGCACTTCTGAGCAGAAAATGCAGGCCATAACTCTATTGCCACTCCAGTGGCACCTTCAACGATTCCTACTTAACAGTGGAAGGCAGAAAATGAGCCAAAGAGACTGGAGCAGAGCGAGAATGTGCTTTAACAGGATAAAATGATTTACAGGTATGAGATTCCCATTAGAGTGTGCTAATTGTTTCCACACCATTAGTGACAGTTATCTAATGAAGGATATTTAACCAGGCGCTGTAGTATATCACACAGTTCCTCTCGGTGTAGAAGTGAGAGGCAGTGGACCCCAGAGCCTATGCCCTTTCCACCTGCACCACCTCAGCGGCATGCAGATCATCGGGACATTTCTGCACAACGTCCCAACTAAAGCAAACCTTTTGTGTGTTTTATTTTTTACATTTACACTTTCATCAGATTTACAGAACTTGTAAAAACACAAGCATTAATTTGCAACAAGAAAAAAAAAAAAAAAAAAAAGACAAAAGCTGTAACATTTAAAACAATGTAAGAATACAGTAGATCATGCCCGATTCATCTATGATCTCGTGCTATGGGAATATATACATCATGTGTCTTAAAACATTTAAGATCCACGGGAATGTTCGGACAACAATCAAGTATGAGACATCTTCCTAAAAATTTGTTTTGGGCCACCTTAGCATACGATCAACCAGTCTTAATATAAAAACTCTTTAGAACAGGCAGGAAAACAACAACAAAGCAAGCGTCAGGCTGGAGAGAACTGGCAGCATGGCCCTGCTCCAGATGTCAGTCAATGCTAAAAACAGTAGGTGAAATTTCACAAACAGGAACAACATTTAGCATTATGTTATAATGCTTGAAACACCATGAATGTTTGGACTGGTAGGAATTATCACAGCGCATGTCAGTCAGGTTCAGGATCAGCTCGTTCCTCCACATCTCACTCGCCTCTCTCTTCCATCTTCTTTTTCAAGCTGCAGTGAACATAAAATGAGTCTCGGTGTTAAAACACAGACAGTCAAGTCTAAATAAAACACACTTCAAATTTCGCAAATGCTCCGGTCACCTTTTCAGGTAGGCGTGCACATTGTCAAATCCATGATATTTTGCCAGGTACACCAACACTCCTGTAGCACAGCGACCGTCTCTGGCCCGACAGAAGCTGCAGTTACAGATCCCTCTGCATGGCGGGCACTGCCACTCCTACCACGAACAACGATTAAGAAGTCAGTCAGACCTGCCCAACACACTCATGAGAACACAACCTCGTAGGTTTTAGGTACTCACCGGATCCAGCAGAGCGTCACGGACCTCCTCTCCGTACCGGTTACGAAGACAAGGGCCGCAGAACTGACCCCTGACCCCGACACACTCTGGGTTACGGCAGTTGGTTTTGGTGTCGATTGTTTTCTGGCGGCACTGGTGGCAAGTGGATCCCTGGAAAATTAAAAAAAAAAAAAAAAGGAGGAGAGAAGTCTTCAGGCAAAGAGCTCAATAAGCAAATGCAGCAAATCAAATCTTTTGCAGTGAATGCAGGACCTACAGTGGAGCTGTTGTAGACTTTCTCCCGCACGTTGTTGCAGATGCCCCGCAGCTCCGTCTCTGTGATGTCGTCCACAGGCCGCACCACGTGAGGGATGGCCTTCACGCCGTTGAAGGAACGGCGGCGGGGCTGCGCATGAAATAAAATTCAGTTAATGCCCGTACTGTTCATTAAGACGATTTGACGCAATGTAAAAAGGCGGTTTGTGAGGCGACTCACTGGCTCATCGACTTCCTCGAAGTAGCGGCTTTTGCGAACCAGGCTGAAGCTGTCCTCGGGCTCTTCTTCTGGAGTCGGGCTGGGGGGTCCGTCCACCTGCGTGCGGGACCGCGTGTGGGGGCGAGACAAACGCTCGGAGATTCTCCGAAGAGTTCTAGGAGTTCCCGCTGACCACCGAGGTGCCTGTCGAGGCTGAATAAGACAAAAATGGTACCGATTAATATAGAGCACTGATAATCTAACGTGTCAAATATTTATGGTCAGGTTTAATTACCGTAGTAGATGCAGACATTGCCCTCCGTCCTGGGAAAAGTCCGGGTACTTTGTTGAGCTCTGACATGAGCTTCGCCAGCTAAAAAAAATAAATAAATAAAAAAAATATGCATAAAACATGAATGAAAGAGTAAAAATGGAGGCTGTTGAGGTCAAAGTTCAGTTCATAACACCAGATAATGAGAGTAATTAATGTGAAATAAATAGAGCAAACTGTACCATTGCTTTGTTCTCCTTGATATTCAGGGCTCTCTTGTCGATGAAGTTCTCCTCCCCCTCAGAGTCGGAGTCCTGTACTTCACTTTGAGCGAGTGGTTCGGATGCATGCCTCTTCTTGCCCGTCTTCTTGGTGGGGAATGTCATGGCCACCTTCAGGATGGTGGGCCTGCGGCCACGTCTCACAGGTTCAGAGTCTACTTTCTGAAAGAAAATACAATTAATAACTAGGACCAAACTCTGTCTGAGGAGGTTCTGAAATATGTTCCAGTTTTAGAAAACGTACCATGGCTTTCATCTGGCTGTTGATCACACTCTCCTCAAACCCGCTACATGTGTCCTCCTCCGATGAAGCCTTAAACATCTTTGGTTTCTCCGTAGTCGTCCTCCTCGTCAGTCTTAAGCCACTCCTCTAAACACAGACACATTCTTTAGTTGCAGATGGTGTTGCAAAAAAAACACACGCTCACCACCATGTTATTAAGGAAGACTTAGATATTGTATCGTTACCGTGTTTGCAAAGCCTCCATCAGAGCCAAAGCTGTCACAACTGTCATCAGAGGAAGAAGAAGACGACGTCTCGGGAACCAGAGGGACGCTGCGGAAGCTCCTCAAACTCATCCTGGTAGACGGAGGGTGGGCGGCAAGTTTCTGTAGATCATACCAAGCAAGTTTAGGAAACAGCTACCAAAGTGCACAGGAAGGCCCCTGTGTCTGCAGACATGCCACCTGAGAATACCAGCCCTGATACGGATACCACCGACCTCTGAGGACAGCAAAGCGTCTAATCAGGCCGAGTTACAAATACCAACTTCTGACTCAACATCTACAGAGCTGACTGTGTGATCTCACTTGCTGGACTTCAAATGATTTATGAGAGGAATGAGTAATGATTGCTTTTACTATTGATTATTTTAACATTTAAAGAAATGCCTTATGCCAAAGTTCTCACATTCAAACTGCTTGTTTTGTCCAAAACCCCAAATAATTCTGTCATAGAAGGAAAAAAAACAGCAAAAATCTTAATGTTGGCCGCAACCAGTTAATTTTTAACTTAAGTAGATTACTTAATTGTTAAAATGTTTACATATACATTTGACGTCAATGGACTGATCAACACTAATGTTTCAGATCAAACTGTCACATAGTTTTGCACATGGGACACACCCCTGTTGGTTAAACCTGGTCAAATGTAAGCATGTAGTAGTAACTGGCTCATGTATATTTCAATACAACTGACTTGGACTTTAGTCGTTGTAAATTAAAGTTACCTCCTTCTAAACTTGTTTTAAGTTAACTTCTCTGCCCCTTTAATAGTGACCCTTAACTGTTACAAAGTGGTCCTAACGGGATGTTTTATTATAAAGAAGACTATAAAGTAGTATTAACACTAACGGATCAAATGGAGAAGAACGTTAGGCAGCTTTTCTTACCTTGGAGCGGGTGGCTGGCATTTTTTCTTTGAATACTAGTCGCACACAAACAGAGACACAGAAGTGAACAGTGTAGCAGCTCTGCAGTGAACAATACGGATCCTGCAGCTGCACGCTGATCAAGATGTTCGTTTCCCGCGCCACCGGAAGGTCCTGGAAGATGCATAAAATGTAGTCGCGTAGTTTGACGGAGTAACACACGTTATAAAAGACACGAGAGGTCAAATTCATAACTAATCTCCGTTATCAAGATTTAAAAATAAGTTTGGATGTTTATTTACGTCACAAACGTATTACTTTCTGATGCATTAAGCGGAAGAGAGCGGTGGGTCTTCCATGTGCTTTGCCGTGGCGCGAGTTTTTTTATTTGTGAATTTGCATTCAAGGCGGGTAAAATGTTGAGCTCTGTCCAACTGTAACTTTTGAGGAGGCTAAGGTTAACCTGCTGAGGTACATCAGTCACTCTCACGTTATAGCAGACAGGACCTAGACATGAAGCATATGACTCTTTGATGAGACTTATTAAAAGAGGAATATTCTAGTTACACTTTATGAGGGTTTAGAGTTTATAAAGGAATTGAAGGAGGGAGATATATTGGCAGAGGAAACAGGGAGATACGGGAATTCAATTTACTAAAGCTGAGTAAAAGTGGCTAATAATAAAAGATAGCACTGACTGGCAACAACGCTGAGATAAGGCAAAAAAACTGGGTGACACAAACAACAGGAAGTGGATATGAATGATTGAAGCATGAACATAACAAGACTGGGGTGTGGCTAGCAGACCTAATATAACTTTGCATATCTGGGTTTATGAAGTTTACCTCTACCTTATAATATATATTATATCCAATACTATATCATATTATATAATTGTGTTAATATCTTATACTCTGTTAGTACATTATTCACTATAGTATACCCTTATTATATTTCTACATTAAAACAGACACACAAAAAGTCTCATCACTTAATCATATTATATTTTAGTCTGGTGTACGCTGTTTGTATACATATTACATCCCGCCACTGTTACATTTGCCTTGTAATTATGTATTTAATGCTCTTGTAATAGTTAATTTTTTTGTCTTCTATTCTTATTCTAGTTTTGTATACCTCTTATTATTTTTTCACTATTTATCTGTACTTATTTCTGTCCTTGTGCTGCTGCAATAACCAAATTTCCCCATTGGGTATCAATAAAGGCGTTTCTCATCTTATTGCATGTGATCATTGTCACACAGTGGAATCAGAAGATCGTGTTATATTTCTGTACCAAAAAATCAAAAATAAAGAGGCAACTGAGAAATAATGGATTTGAACAAATGAACCCTTTATCTTGGGTAAAGGTGTCATAAAAGTTTATTTGATTACTTGAGAGAAACCGGGCTAATAAATAATTATTTTAAAACATTGCCATGCATCACTACCGTTCGCCATCTGCTTTTTAATGGAAGGAAGAAAATGAAGAACAAGGAGTGAATTTTCCATTTGTTTTAATAACAATACATCATTTATATTAACCTGACAGGAGCCAGTTTGTTTTATGATAAAAGCTTATGTTCATACATATATACATCCGATCATAGGCATCAGTGTGATTCTCTTAAAACAAGCAGTTCATTTTCAGCATATAAGCAGACATAATTCAGATAAAACCTTTTGAGAGCATGACATGTTAGGAAGCTGTCAGTTCATGTGTGGCCCACATTAAGTTCTTCCACCAGAGCCACGCCCTCCCCTGCCCCCTCTCTTCTGTCGACCTCTGACTTGTTTATTGTCCTGACGCGGTAATCTTTTCTGTCGCTCCACTGTGATCCACCCTCCGTCGCTGGCTTTGGCCCCCTCTTTTCCCTCACTAGGGTTTTCTGTCACAGACAATATACCTGGTATCTTGGAGGGGCGGTTCTGTGGTGTGACACTGTAACTGTTGGACCGTGGCCTCCCTGGCTGGCGCGAGGTTTTGCTAGTTTTATTATGAACATAGTTACCTCTGGTATTGGTCCATGCATTCCCCCTACCCTGCTCCCTTCCCACAGTTAATGTGTTGCCAAAGTAAAGGTTTCTGCGGCGGTCATGCACTGCTCCAGCACTGAGTGGGCGCTCTCGCTCCCTCTCTGAGGCGCTCTCTGACGTGGTGCTGGAAGGGCTGCTGCCCTTTGACCCGAGATGGAGCGAGGAGAGTTTGGCCGACAGGCTGGTAGTTGGCGAGGAGCTGCGAGAGTCAATCCAACTAGATACATGGGCGCGGTTTGGAGAGCGGCGCACAGCTGCAGCATAAGACTGGCTTTCATGTGCAGACAGGAACTGAGGCAGAGTGCAGGCGTCAGACCTAGTCAGAGTAGCAGTAGTCTGCTGGGATTTCTGGGTCTTTAACTGCCTCTGCCTTACGTTGTACATCCATGTGGTATCAATATCTAAAAAGGAAGATGTGCATTAATTAAATTCAGGGGACAGTCTGTGTTTAACACCGATACATTTGTGATATCTTCAAATGAGGAATTTCAACAATCTTTATTTGTCCCGCAGTGAAAACTGTTGCTCTGGCACTTTTGAGGTCAATACAGTAATAAATAAAACAAATACCAGAGTAAGACTTGTCCGTGGGGCTCAAGTTGATGTTAGCTGGAGTTGTTTGGATGGCCAGCTCCACAGTCTTGATCTCGTCTTGATTACCACTGTGACTCCACGTCACTGGACAGCTGTGTCTGGTAGACTTTGGTGACTTGACATCATCCTAAAGTCAAAAGACAGGAAGAGAATACATATAATATATTTAGATTAAAAAATACAGTATGTTTACTTGATGCTCGGGGTTCTGTGATTGCATTTGATGCATTTTCAAATTCATATTTCAAATGGCTGATATAGTGTATTTGCTTTGTTCTGTGAGGTGCCTCTCACCTCATAATTGACTGTGTAGTCAACTTTATGGTTCGGCTGTAGTCCAACGATCCATTTGTCCATCACAAAAGGTGGCTGCATTGCAAAGATTTTAGTTCATTAAAGAATCTGGCAATACAACAATCTTAGAGGTATAATGCAAACAGTTAGGTCAGAAACAAAGAGAGCATTCAGTATTGATTAATACATGAGTGGTCATGTCATTTGTAACTTGTTCAGCAAATGTGTTTCTGACGACACCTTAGTCATCCGCAGGATTTCCACATCTTGTCGGTTGACATTAAAGATGACATCTTTGATGTAGGTTACTGCAATATCATCTCCATCAAGTTCCAGGTACATCTTCCATTTGCAGTCCTTTAAAGAAAATAGGATGAGTTGAACATTTTCTTTTGTGACACCAATATCTCTGTTACTGTACAGCTGCAATAAAATCTGATTTAAAAAAAAAAACGACAATGGTGAGATAATGGGCGTCTGGTCTGGTGCACTCACAAACAACACCTGATTGTATGTAAAAGTTTCTAATTGCAGTAGAACTTGGTAACTCTTGTATATAAACCAACAGCACAACCTAGAGGTAGTTTGATGGTAGTGGCCACAAAGCCACTTACTGTGGGGAGGACAGAAATATTACATATCGAAAAACGGGAAATTGTATATAATGCAATTTGTGTAATATATGATTTCGAAACACGTTATTTAGAGAATGGATTTTAATCAAAATCAATACTAATGTCTCAACATTGTAGGGAAAATTCTATAAGAGAGAAACAGAAATAAATGAGGCGGTAGCAAATATTTTGATGTAGACATTGTCAATTCTTTGTCAAACACTAGATGTTGTTATTCTCGGTGGGATCCAGGATAATTTCTTGGAGCAGGAATCAGGTCGATTTTAGGTGATAAGGGTGAAGGTTTTTCCTCATGACTTGCTGCATGCGGCACACATCAAATCCTCACTAGGAGGCACGAATCTGAACAATTCCCCAGACCTCTTCTCCTGCATACTGAATGCTGACGAAGCAGTAATGATTCCGCCAATCCCCTAAAGCCGACCACGAAGCCACAGGTCACCGCTTAACCACACAGGGTTCATGGCACAGGCCAATCCATTGTGTAGTGATCACAGAGAAAGACATCAGAGGAGTGGCACTAACACACTCGTCTGAGGAGCCTTCGCCCTCTCCTGCATCGTCCCCAGGGGCTGGAAACGGCTCAAAGGGGAAGCTTCAGCAAGCCTCTGGCTCAGAAACACACCAGTGGCCCCCGTGCTGGCCTGTTGTCGGCACTGGACGGTCGCACCGGGGCTTCCAGGTCCATGCTAGTCTAATCACTCCAGCAGAAACAATGTCTGGTAATGATGCCTAGGACCCGAGTGCGTCTAATGACAACTCATACATAATTCAGCACCTTTCACTTGGCTGCACGGTGATATCCTCATTAGTAGGGGACCCTCAGTGGCTGTCAGATGGTGGCCGCACAATCGCGGGCCCTCATTTTGCCTTTGAGAAGTGCAGCTGCTTCCATGACATCGCCAGCAAAGAGGGGCGAAGAAAAAAAATGCAGTACGGGTTTGTTTTATTTAGTGCAAAAATCCTTCCAGTTTGTAAAAACAAGGCTGACACGGAACCTGACACCAGGCAGGGGAAAATAATTAGCTCTCATTTTCTCAGCCTCCTGTTTCCTTCTCCCTGCTGTGTTTTCTACCCACTAAACCACCACATGTCAGAAGAAATGGGAGGCAATTAGCAGGCTCGTTTCAGCCCTGCCGAACACACTGAAAGAGGACTATTTATGATGGGACAATGAACAGCTGAAAGATTAAATAACGTTTGCCTTTTAAAAAGAAAATGACTTCTGGCTAAATGGGCTATTTTTGATTAAATTCAAACAGCAAGTGAAGAGCCATCCTTTCTCCACAGTTTGAGACCCTAACAAAGGGCTGTGAGCAAGTCGAGGTGGATGTGGTACATGGCTGAGAATGAAATGTTTATTCGTCTGGTTTTATGCATGTCTAGTGATGCCTTCAATGGTCAGCATAACAGCCATCATCATGAATCCTCAGAACAAACAGCTTCAGTACAAGGCGGCTGATTCAATCACGGCAAACACATTATTCTGTACATCTATTTACAAAGGAACAATATTACAAAACCTATTAAAGATGTTAAAAATTAATAATCAAAGTAGTTACAACATTTTTTTGTGGTTGTCCTTTATTTCTTTTTGGTTGTCCTTTACAGAGCGAATGATGAACTGCATCTGATGCTCACAGCTGCAGAATATGTTGGTGCAGTCAGTGTGTGTGTGTGTGTGTGTGCTGCACTATGAACTTACAGATTTCCCAGTTCCTGGTTTCCAGTGGTACCCAAACACCAGCTCCAGATTTACAGATTTACCCATCTTAACCTCCTTTCCCAGCTCATCCTGGGGGGGAAAAAAAGTGGAGTTTAGGCACCAAATATGCACAGAGAGCCCCCCCCCCCACAAAAAAAACCCCCAACTCTTCCTAAAGATAAAGAAGAAAGGTTTATACCTTCAACAGAGGTGGGAAGTGGACCATTCCGAGGTAATCATTCGTTAGCTTTTCAATTTCACCCTGCCGAAGAGAAAATGTGAGATTCACTGTAATTCCAATATATATGAGCATAAAACTCATCCTGTAAATGACGAATGGATTAAAAGAAATAAGAGAGTTGTGGTTAATGGCTAACTGTGCCTTGCCTTAAGGTGCATAGCGTGACCTTTGGATTTGACCCCCATGTCCCTCATGTCGTTTTCTGTGAGCAACAGCAACCTCTTTCCAGTGATGTGATTATCTTTAAACAGGTCAGCATACAGCTGCATGCCCCATGTACCCTTCTCTGAGATAGAAAAGGACACGCCCAGATTTTAAACAACAGATTACAAATAAAGAGTCCGAAGATGCCAAAGTTGAACTAAAGATAGAGTGCATGAACAAACCTGCACCGAATATTTGCTGCATCCAGAAATACTGAAAGAATAAAATGGTAATAGATTATTTTTAATAGCAATGGTGTGTGGAAATCTAAAATAATATCTTAGTTATGAGGTTAGTAATGATACTGACCACATGCTCTTCTGTCCAAGTACAGATGTCAAAGTGTGGCAGCAACTGCATAAAAACAAAAGACAAACAGAAGTAACAGCAATAGAACATGGATGGATACAGACAGTATAACATGTGTATTCATGACAGGCAGACGTTTAAATAAAAATCACCAGACTTAAGTAAATGTTATTAAAATGGAAAATAGACATGTTTTCCATGTCTGTGAAGCCATTACTTTTCCGGTTATTGTGCTGTGGGATGAAGACGACTTGCCTCTAATGGTCTATATCAAACTGAAATGTCCATCTGACTGATCTAACGTGATCTGTTTGAATGATAAATCATTTATTGCTCATTAAATGTAATCAGGCAGAAACTTGCCAGCCAAAATAAAGATTTCATCATTGTGATCACGAGACTGGTGTGTAATGACAGAAATAATGCAATGGAAAATTGGAGGAAAGATGACTAAATGAATGAGTAATCCCCCATTCACTGTCTTCTTCCCACGACATCTGATAAACAGCTCAGATTATGAGCTGAATGCCGGTCTCAATAGACAGTCGCTGCCATACATTTCAGTGCAGCCCGCCCGCCTCACAAAGCCACTCAGCACTGCAGCGTTTTCCGCCTCCTCCAGTGCTGCGGTTCGGAAGTAAACAGATTCAGAAGCATTCTGCCGCTGCCAAAGTCTCATTGGAGTGACTTAACATCACTTTTCAAGCAGCGTATTATATTTCACAAATGTGCTGCCATGATTCTTTCTCCGAGGACTATCTCAAATTCAAAATGGGGCGCACAGTTTTTGTGTTTATGACATGTGTGTGGAATCTGTAGGAAAAAAAAAAAAAAAAAGACTTTGGCTTAGTTCACACAATCCTGCCCCCATGTGGACTAAGTGGATGATGAGCAACCAGACCATGAACACTGGGAGTTACAAAGTTAACATCACAAGAAACAGCTCAACATGAATGCCCAGTGAAGCAATATATTTTACAATCTTATTAAAATGCTATCAGTCACGCTCTGTTCTGTCTTCTATCATAAAGGGTTTGGTAATAATAGTGGCAATACAACATCATTCTCATGAAACAGATCAGCAGAGAGTTGAAAGAAACTGATTTATTGACAGAACGGTGAAGGATGCAGGAAAATAAGTCACATCAAGAAGCTGCTGCTTGCATGATTTTGGTGAAAAGCTCAAGAAGATTATTAACAAGTGTGGAGGCTGAATGTTTCTGAAGTGTCTGGATTTCACACAGGGAAATGTATATATTGGTAGGAGTCTGTGTTAATTGTTATGTCTAGTCTAGTGTGTATAGAGCTTGAAGGCACAAGAGTACAGCCGATGTTTGAATATTAGCTCACGGCAGGATGCTAACAAGCAACAACACAGGAATGCAGAGGATTACATCCTCATGAGACTGACTGATGATAACAAGTGAATGGGACAATTTAATGTGCTATGCTCAAGGAAGCATGTCCTTCCCCCAGATGAAGCCTAATACCTACTTGAACACTAATGCTAATACGATTTTCTCTACTGTAAAGTGCAGGTCTTGAGGCGAATATTCAGTTAGACCGTATGGTGAGATTCTGTATGAAAAATGTGTCAACAGAAGGAAATGATTCTATTAAAATCTACATTTTGTAAAATCCGTGACTTCTGAATCAAGCCTTTTAGCGCAGAAACGTTGTTATATATAATTCCCTATTTCTTAATGTTTGTAAATCTTTTAAGGCCTAAGCAAGAAGCCTGTCTTGAAAAGTAAAATGTGACATGAGCAACGAAGCTGACAGTCATACAGCCACATCCTTCTCCTGCTGTTTTGAACCGTGGGTCAGTCAGAGGAAAAAAAACATGTAGTTTCTCATCCTGGTAAGAGACTGCGTCTCAACAACTGCACTCCAACACATCCAGAACAAATTGGCCAATCTTAATGTCAGCAAAATGTCATTTCATCATAAAAGCCTGGCCCTCTCTAAGCAACTGGCTCATGTGGCTCTTTCTTCACAGCATGGCACTATACATCCAGTACATTAGACATACGGTAAATGACATCCATAATATACATAGGTGGAAAGCTCTACAAGTATTCTGAAATACCTTTCTGTGCTAGATTGAGTGATTTCTGAACACAACTTGAACAAAGCAGAAGAAATATTAAGTCAATGTATGTGTTCTGGTGTTTCTCATGATTATTGAAATGATCAAAATAATCATGACTTAACAAGTAATTAATCGCCAAATATTGCTTCCACAAAACCAATAAAGCGTCAAGTGAGATTACAGTAATTGATAGATGCAGCCGTGGAGACGCAGAGCGTCGGAGACATTTATTCACTGTCGTCAGACCAAGTGAAGTGTCCCATTCCCAGAGTCATGTTGACTTTGTGTCCTTCTCTGACACAGCTCGACACGGAGGAGTTCTGCCTGGCCTGCATGTTGACCTGCATGCCCGAGTGCAGGATAGGCCGGCCAAAGTCCAAGGAAAACATGTCCTCAAAGCCCTTCGTCATGGACTGCAGATTCACCGCCTCGTTACTGGAGGTTGTGATCTGACATGACATCTGTGAACTGTTTGATTCCTCCGTCTTAGACTGATAGAATGACTTAGCGCTTATCTTTTTAGCCACAGGTAAGAGGAGCTGAAAGGCAGAGAGACGGGTGGAGAAAGGAGGGACACAGGGGTGAAGGAAAAGAAGAGAGGATAGAAAAGAAAGGGAAGTAAGTAATCAGTTTCAAAACACAAGTGTAAATAAGAAAAGTGGACAATCTTAACCCCAACCCAAGAAGAAAAGTAGATGGTAAAAGAAAGTTAACAGAACAAAAGAATAAGTGGAGGATAGGAAACGATAGGAAACACAGGAAGAGATTTCAGTGTACTTGATCCAAAGGTGTTCAAGTTATCTATACTCTACACTACTGTGGCATTCCGTCACACACGGTTTTGAGAAAGCAAACACGTTCTGTCCACAGAAACACAAAGTGCAAACAAGAATAAACAAAACATAATCTGTTGTGTCTTTTGCATGCAAATACTGCAATGCAAGGAAACGAACCGGCAAAACAGCAACGCCGTGAACTGCAAGTTCCGCAACGCTCACAATTCAATATGAATTCTGGTAAGTGCAGCATTCACTCTGTGCAATCATGATGCAAATGTGCTTGTTGGGCAACCATGCACTACACTTTACATAACTGAAGTACTGCCAATAATACACACTGCCCATGATGTACCTTATTCCACACTTTTTTATTTTCATTCCACATGCTTTCCCATTTCCATGTCACCCCCAGAGGGAGATCAGAAGGAGTCTGTCCCTCTCGCAATGGGATTGAGGAAACTAGCATGTGAACAGCAGTGTGAACGTGAGGTGCTGCTGCTGTGACCACTCGACAGCTGGTGGCGGCTGTCCTGCGGGTGAAGGTGGACCAAGGTGGAGAGGACATAATGAGCAACTCACCGGGCTGTTGGACTGTTCAATGAGTTTGTGCTCCCACATCTTTAGACGGCGTTCTCGCTCCTTCAGCTCCTGCTCTTTGGTACTCAGGTCTCTCTCCAGCTTCTTAAGTCTCTCAAGCGTAGCTTCAATCTCACACCTGCAATAAACAGAAACAGAACAATGTCAACAGTTTACCAAATATCTCCTCATTGAATATCGGAAAACAAACACTTTTTTCAAATGTTAAAGACTGGCATGATTTCATATTTTTCTTTTTGTCAGGAGTAAATAGGGATTTTGTTGTAGACTATTTTTAGCTGCGGATTAATACACAATTGGTGCCCTACTTTTTTTTAGCAGGGTGTGTTACATGTGGGATTGACTCAGTAAACTACAGTGCTTGTGATAATTGAAATGAAGGAGTTTCCACCCGTAAAAATCCAGGTTTACCTTCTTGTTTTAACTTAATTAGCCGTAAGGTTAACTGACGTGCCATATTTGTAAGGCTCCGTGGTTTTATTGCTGGATTATTCTATTAAATGTGTTTATTTGGCATCTTTGGAAGCTTAAGAATTCCCACTAGAATTTGAAATGAAGTTATGTGGGTTTGGCACAGAGCAGTTGTATGTAATGAGTAACTCACTGGCAGTTCAGTGTGGCTTAAAGGTTAAAGAGCTCTCACCTTAAGTTCTGGTCATTTCGTTGGATTTGTTGACAGTAAGAAATGATTAAATATCACCAGCCTTCTCCAGTGTGAAGAATAATTACATGAATACCAGTTAGAGTAGAGTACCATGGCAGTAAGCAGTAGCACTAAAGCAAAATGAAGTAAAACTGTAAAAAGCACGAGTGATCCCCTGCAGTCAGAAGGTGATTCGGCTGTGTCTAAAGCTTCGGATGCCAAGGACGGGACAATGTCTCATGTGGGGGAAGTTTGTTTTGCCCAGCAGGTGGGGCTGCACAGTGTGTCGTGGAAATCCACGCTGAGCTTTCAGCCCAACAAAAACTTGGTTCTCACACTCTCTCTCTCTGTTCATAAACACATGTAGCAGGAAAGCCCATCCTGACTCCTCCCAGTCCTCCGGTTCCTCCACCCCGACGCTTCCCACTTCAAACAATTTCCACTCTTGCTCAACTTCCCAAACAATTTGTTCTCTTGCCTCTTGTTCACTTTCCTGGAAAACATTTTGTCTTTGCACATCGTCCTGTACGCTGCAGAATGTCTAATCCAGAAAAGACTTTCTTCCTATTCTGTCCAAACTAGTCTGATACAGAGTGTAACAAGAGGCATCTGTTTAGTGTTACATGATATTTAACTTACGTGACTCAGTCTATATTTAGTTCTTAAGACAAATAATTAGATCACAAAATTCAAGTTCTAATTTCAGATGTCATAAGACATAGCAATCGTTGAATTAAACCAGCTGCTTTTGACCATTACACCATTTGATGGTGAATCTGTCACCAAACAAAGAGTGTCAGGTTAAAGTAGGGACTCTCCCCTTTAAGGGGAAGGTGTTTTAATTGGCTATAAGAGCAGCTTAACAGTGTACATGAAAATGAAGTGACGATCGATGTGTGCATAAATGCAGCCACACAGTGCTGCTAGTAGGCAGTAGACTTTTAGTCTTCTTATACCGACATAAAAGCATATATGGCCAACATAATATCTCACTGCCCTACCTCCAGCTCTGATCACCCACAAGCCAGCTAAGCTTATAGTATCAAACCTCTTGAGCTACAACAAATGCATCTTTCTGTTTCACACATTCTCAGTTTCTGTTTTCCAGCAGCGAGTTTCACTCCAACCTGCTGCACCTGCAGATGGCTGCCTGGACATGATGCCACCAGCACAACTTCTGAAGAAAAACCTCAGAGCACAGACAAGCCCCGCAGAGAGGCAGACAGAGAATAAAGTAACAGCTGAGACTCAGGCTGTGCTGAACATCACCAAACCTCCAGCTGCTCATACAACCCAATTAAACACTTCTACTTGAAAAAGATGGTGATTATTTTTAGGGCCTTATGGGTAAAGAGAGGAAGTATATCCAGATGGATGATTCTGTGGAGGTTTTCAGCCCTTTATGTAGCTATCAGTGTAATTATTAAAGATCTATATGCACGATCTCAAGTCCTTTTTTGTATTCCACGGCCCCCATCAGCTACATTTCCACATCACTCTTTGAAAACAGTCGCACATTTCCTTAGGCTGAGGCAGTATATCGGTGAAAAAGAGAGTTATAAATACATTTACTGGGCCTGGGAGAATGGCTGATCACATTACCTCCATTCAGCCTTGTTGTGAAGGAAAGAGTTGCACTGTTGAGGAAGTTGGCTGTCATTCGACATGGACTCCAAAGTCAAGAGGATCTGCTTGAACATTGGCCTTCCCTGGAATCAACATATAAACATTTGCTCTGTATGATTCAAATGAAAGCATACATATGTTGTCAATTTGCATAATGTAACTTAGTGTACCACTCACTTTAGATTCTGCTGCCCAGCAGTTCCTCATGAGCTCAGCAAAGCTGGCAGGACAGCCACTCGGGATGGTTAACCTCTGAAACACACACAGTCAGATGTAGGATGAGCTGAAGGGCTGCTGATTTGCAGGAATTGTTTGACATTTAGGAATTCATGCTTATTCACTTTCTTGCTGAGAGTTAAAGCTGAGCCAAGCTAACCATCTGCTGGCAGTGGCTTCATAACGCTTCAGCCTCTTGGCGATAATGATTCCCCGTGTTCCAAGGGTCACTATACTGTATACGGTACATACACATAATCGCACACTAGAGTACCTCGTTTTTCTCCACCACGAGCCAGGCCACTTGTAAACCTTCCAGACCTTTGAAGGGTATCTCACGGGTGAGCATTTCCCAAAGAACCTGTCACGGAAGTAAAGAGCCAAGGTCAGCAAACAAACAAAGTTATAACACTGTGAAATAATATGCATAGACGTATGTGTATGCTCAGGCAACATACACACATCTATGAATCTTTTGTTTTGCCCCAGTGGGTTTCACAGAAAAAATATTGCATGAATAATAAATATTGCAGAGCAAATAAGTAGCTTTTAACATTTTCTGTTGTGTGTTTGTAGACAAATAAACATTTAAAACACTTTTCTGTCTTTCTTGAAGACCAAATGCAACATACAAATTAGACAAAGGAAATATTCTTAGATTTAAGAGTGATTCTTTAATTCTTAGATGATTGAAGGCTGAAATGACGTCTGAAGTGCAATAACAGCACTCCCTTGATCATGTAGGTGCTTCTCAGGTGGTATTCAACAGTGTCAGGTATTCAACCTGAGTCGATGTCTTTAAAAAAGGAGATTTAAGAAAAGGTGGAGAGACATTTATTAAACAGCCAAGGGCTCTACTGTACTCTACATTTCTATATTGCTACACTTGCCAGCTGCCTCTCATTAGATGTATGTATTTTGCTATAGAAATCAGCTCCTCAGAAGAGTGTCAGTGCGGGAAGACTGCATACTTACTGTAAATCTGCAATTATTTTTGCTTTACCTCTGACACAGAAAGCACTCGTTGCAATCATAAACATTGACTGTTCAGCATGTAACATCCTGCCTACTGTATATCTGAGGAAACGTACTTTTAAGGTTTTGCATCAGAGATTTACTCTTGCATAATAGGAACTGCAAAAAAACCTTTTTTTGAGCTGTTAACTGGTTTCCATTTTGAAATTACTTCCAAAAGTCTTTAGACAGCAAATTCAGCAAGTTCAGGACGAGTTTCAGGAAGAAGAAAGACAGGCTTCACTTCTGCAAAGGTCAAAATAAATTTGATTGTCCACTTAAGCAGAGAAAGAAATGCAGAAATAAAAATATCAGTGGGACTGGTTGACTGACAGTTGCTTTTTTACAAGAATATCGGCAACTGTCCTATACACTCTGTGTGTTCAAATACCCATACTACCATAATTAACATGGAGGAAAAAGATTTAGTATGTCCCCAATACATGGTACGTAAAATGCTGTATGACCGGTCTATCTTGTTGCATTTTTTCATTATGCAAGCCAGCATGCTTTTTTTGGCTATTCTGACCCATAATTCTCTGTGCAGCGGATAAATGAGCAAAAGGCTCAAAGTTCAAGGTGCAATGGTATGAGGAAGTAATATGTCCCAATTGAATGCTTACTGGATGCAACAGTACATACTTTGTAAGGGCGGCTGCAGTATAAACTAAAAGCATGTGATTTAGAACACAGTGAACATGTCAGTCAGATGTCTGCTGACTGGTACTCTGAAGAAGGCAACATGTGACAAAACAATGATCTACAGAATTGGAAACTTAAAAATGACATCACTTGTGAGAGTGGTGCTTTCCCCTCCTTTCCTTTCCTGTCACTCACCACACCGTAGGAGAAAGTGTCACACGTCTCAGACACAGGCAGACTCTGGATCACCTCCGGAGCCATCCAGGGAAACGTGCCCACCAAGGACATGTGCGTTGTGTGGGTCAGGAACTTGGATGCCCCAAAATCACAAATCTGAAGTGACAAAAAACAAAATTACGATTATCATGGCATCTAAATGCTGTTCTGTAATCACATCATTAAGGCCTGGACACAATTGCTTGTTTTCATCACTGCAATTTGGCACAATATGCTCTTGTCTCATGATACATTAGATACAAAAGAGGCTTCAAAAACTGTTTGGAGCTACTAAATAGTTTTCCATAATATACTACCTCTCTTTCAAGAGTTTTATTTAATCTCCTTTCTAATAATCTCGTCTACAGTGAAGCGCACCAGGAATGCTGGTTCTTGTAAATGCTAAGTTAGTCACTGCCCTCTTGTGTCCACATACTGAAGGTAAATAACATACCAGTATTTAATGCTCATATTCCTTTTAAATTCTGAGATAAAAGTTGAAACATGCAGTTAACCAGACAGTATCACCTCATCAGTGCAGCAAAATGTATCTGAGATGAAACTCAACAGAGTATAAGTCATAATGAAAACCAACCTTGAGAGACTTGTCTGCCGACACAACAACTGCAAGAGAAAATAGAAAGTCAATAAAACTTTGTATTCACTTTAGAATATGTAACATTCATGTATGTATACAAATTAATATTGGTTTGGACACCAAAATATTCTAGAAATTAAATCCTTTACCATTCCTGGACTTCAGGTCTCTGTGGATCACCTTAACGGGGGCCTCTGAATGTAAATAGTGCATTCCTAAAGCGGAAATAAAGAGACGTTTTTCAGAGGCAGGCCACTGGAAACACTCTATACACTGGTGACTCTGATCACTGAATCAGGAGAAAATCATGCTTGTTTTATCCGGTTTGTAATACTGTATGTGTGGAGTAGTAATGAGGGAGACCTACGATACCTTGAGTAGAAACGCATACTATTAGGAATTCACTCATGAGCAAAATCAAGACTCATTGACTTGTATTTATATTGCTAAGTAAAAGTACACCTAGAGTGCCAGCACACACTTAAGCACACACACATTGGTTATCAGTGTGAATATCAATCATGACTGCAACAAATGATGACTTGAGTCAAAAAAAAGTTCAGCATTTCTTCTTGACTTGTAAAACTTCTTAATACTTTCACAGCTGATAAATGAACATAGTGCTGCTATTTAACGATCTGTTTTAGGTCTTTGATGTGATATATAATGCAATGTTGTGATTCTTACAGAAACTGACTTTAATAGGACTACAAAACCTGCCTTGTCTTTTAAATCACTTTAAAAAAAACGACTTATTTGCACATATCACAGTTTTATTACAACTGCTTTCTATGAAAAAGAAGTTAAGGTCCCTCAAAACATACCGTACCAGCCTCCTTAAGTTCTACAATTAAGTGTATAAAAACTTTAACTGCTGTCTTTGTCATATTTTATTTATCATAATAAAACCACTGCCAGCAACTAATGATTATTATCATTTTTGATTAATCTGTTGATTATTTTCTCGATTCATCGATTGGTTGTTTGGTCTATAAAATGTCATAAAATGGTGAAAAGTGTTGATCAGTGTTTTCTGAAGCCCAAGATGACATCGTACAATGTCTTGTTTTGTCCAAAACTCAAAGACATTCAGCTCACTGTCACAGAGGAGTATAGAAACCAGAAAATATTCACATTTTAAGAAGCTGTAATCAGAGAATTTTTACTTTTTTTCTTAAACAGACTTTTTTTAGGTTTTCAATTAATTGATTAATACAAAGACGCTGTTATTGGCAAGCACAAGCTGTTAGTTACTTATACAATCAAGGAGATAAAATAATTGGCACATTTACCTCTGGCGATCTCTGCAGCCCATGTCATGATCTGCCCCATGTCCATTTCCTCACTCTCAGCACTGGACAGGTAATCATACAACGATCCACCACTTGCATACTCTGTGGAGAAATGTGATCATGTTTGAGTTTGTTTTATTGGAAGTGACTGACTTGTGATGGTGAAATGTCTTATAGTGAAAAACTCTTGTCTTCAGGCGTTGCATTGTACATATTAGTGCAGTATGTGAGAGCATTATGGGAATAGAGATTTCGCCAGAGAACTCCTGGAAGCCTGCTGACTGTGTCTTGTTTACAGATTGCTCCTGTCACTGACCTGTTGCTGCATATGACCTCAATTTATCACGGTGTAAATGAACACTGCTCCCATAGAAGCCCACATGTTATCAACTCTCTAAAACACAAATAATCTGCTCTGTTTTCTAAAGTTGAATAGGCTTCGAATGTGGCACTTCTTATGAGTCTTGACAACCATGTAGCCTTTTGCAAAATCCCCCCTCACAAAAGCTCTCCAAGACATACAGATATCTGTAGACAGAGACCTCGTGAGGTGTAGTACCTGAATGAAGATAAACAAGCACCATCATACCAGATAAAACAGCAGGAAACCTGTGTTTGTGCATAATAACCCAATCATGTTTCAACACAGTGTAAACATGCATTGGCGCCAAGGCAGGAGTCTAATTAACAATCATAAAATACACAGATGCTTTTTGTGTTTTTTACAAGTCTGGATTGCTTTTTGCGTTTGCATTTGTGGCAAAAGCTGTCTGACAGCAGATGTATAAATAAGCTCACCTGAGTTCTCCTGTGTGTGCAAGTGAAGACTTGTCTGCTTCTGCACTTTACTGTAATACGATCCTCCACATTCCGTGAATAACGTGGCTACCTGAGGCTCTGTTGTACTTCTTTTAATCAGTTTGTGTGCAACAACAAACAACCTTGCACATCTCACAGGTAAATGTACCTTTACCCTAAAACAATAACTGACCTTAATTTATTAGGTTCATGAGGTCGTTGAGTGACAGATATTGTTCAACTCACGCAGGTGAACAGAGACAAACAGGTTTCTCAAATAGGTTGTAGATATTGGCTGCAGAAAGAGGGAACTGCCTGGCCTGATGCTGTGTGTCAACAGACAGAGGACATTTATAACAGAGCTGATGAATGTGGACATGACACGGTCAGGATGGCAATAAACATTTTTTTCCTGGATCTGCTGCTAATTAGATTGTGCTTTGACAAATAGACACATCAATCAGCGACTTGACAAACAAAACCTCTCTCTATCACAGCTGCAAAACACTATAGAGGCTGCTGAGGTGTCGTGAGTTTTTCGTTAATGTTCTTCTTATACAGTTCTCTCACACACAGCTATTACATAGAAAAGCGTGGTTTGCATAACATTTAACTGAAGTGCAGACACTGATTTCACTCTGCTCACGATAATCACAATCTTCTCCTGCAGGACATGGAGCTATGTGAACGTAAGATGGGAAACTCTATAGAGGCAGCAGTTGCTTAACGTTGTTACAGTGTCATATTGTACGAGGTGAGGTTTCATAATTCTGTCTCTTCTACCACTCTCCATTCCACAAGAAAAGGACATGATAGTCATCAGTAAAAATGATATCAGCATGAGGATGGACATTTAAAAACAGAAATCTAAGGTCACGGAAGTTATGGAGTTCACTTGAGATGACTTTTAGTTATGCTGACAATGGATGTGTCACACAAGGAAAACATTCAGTGGGTTTGATGCGAGGAAAAAATGATTTCCTGAAGTAGAAAACAGTTTAATTTCAAGTAAAGACTCAATAAAAATCAATAAATATAACACTTGATATGATCCCAGTTTTTGTGCTGCTATTAATTGATACAATTAATTCATTTCAAGTGTTTTTATTGGTTTGTTGTTTTTATTGTTTATTATTGTCTTATAGTCTTAACTTATTGCCTCTTCTGACTCATTGTCTTATTTTTTAGTGTGGTAATTTTAACTGTAGCTACATGTCAACTTTCCCTTTATGGGACAAGAGAGAACAAAGATTTACCTGCCATGACTTGACATGTATTCTTTATTCATTTACAGTTTTAATTTATTGTGGACTTTTAATTTGAGCACTTCCATTTAATAAAAATGCTCTCCAATAACACTCCTAAATCCCAGTCTCAACTCTGTTGCCAACCTAGCCGGACAGCTAATATAAATCAAATTAAATTAATTAAAGTTCATGGTATATTCACTCAGTAAAAGTGTGTAGTTTTACTTGTACAGCAGATACTTTTAGCGATATTTAACAGTATGTAGGTTACTGTTGGACGCTGTTAGAAATGCAAAATAGACAAACAAATGCAGAGCTATGGCGTCTTTGTAAAGGTAAATAAAGAAAAGTAGAACCACAATCTCTCAGTGTTTATGATTCGCCCTCTCACCCTCCAAATCCAGCCATGTTTTAAAGCAAGATAACTTGTACTCTTTATTATCACTATGATTTTTGATTGCATCTAGCTCTTGGGCTGAAGGAGTTTTAATGCATTTAGTATGGGGTACTTTAGACTGAAGATTTTTTCAATAAATGTAATGTAACAACACCCCTGGTTGTGGAGAAGAAACAGTTTACTGTATTAGATAACACACCATGATTTAGTAAGGACAAATGTGAACTATGGGCTCTTTTATTTATCAGTGGCATTGACTGCCGGAACAAAGAATCTCTTATGTGATTAATCTGCGCTGTGGGATGTTGTCCACATGATGAAAGGAGGTGGTACTCCCTGTTCAGGATGTGAGTGAGGGGTGCTACAACTTTCACTGACAGGGTGTTTAACTTTTTCCTGGAAGAAGAGCAATGTTTGTGGTCAAGATATGGCAATTATATGACTTGAGTCACATTCATGCAACTGCAAATTAAATCTCAATTCCACATCGTGCTTAAGTTATTAATTGATTAGTCAATTGATAGAAAACCAATTGCCAACAATTTAGAAAAATCATTAATTGTCAAGCCAAATTTATGAAGCAAGATTTGCTGTTTCACGTTTGCTGTTTGCAGCTTCTGAAATGTGTGCATTTGTTGATTTACATGCTTGTAAATTGAATATCTTTCTGCAGTTGGTCAGACGAAATAAGTCATTTGAAAACCTTGTCTCAGGCTAAGCATGGACCGCCCGCTCTACCAGGTTAGCTAACTGAGCTCCTTGCACTTTTGCCTTTTAGCCGTATGTCTATAGATGCAAATCCCTTGTATGTGCTCACACTTATTTGCCCATTAAAGCTGATTCTGAGAAGACTTGGTTTAAAATACAATACAACTTAAATGACATCTCCACAGTAAAGTGAAAAGTTTGTGCAGAGGCATTGTGGGCCCCTTGCAACACAAGGTTTATTCTTCTCAGCCTATAACCTCAACACAAAAGAAAGGGGCACACAACGACTGTATCAATGTGTGCACATACCCGAACCCTCTGGCATTCACTAATGTTTCTATAGAAACCTCTGCACCATTCAGTGTTGAGCAAACTGCAACTGATGCAAACAGATTCAGTTGCTGTGTTTGCTATCGTGATGTAGCCAAGCAGCTGTGGTGCACACTGATCATCATTGAGACATACTGTATTTATGACACGGCCGATGTGAAGGCTTTGAAATATCTTACCTGTGACGATTCCGTAGTTGGGAGCCTCAACAATCGCGCCATAAAACTGGATGATGTTACGGTGGCTGAGGACGCTGAGGATTTCAGCCTAAAACAATAAACATAGGACAACATAGCTGGGTATTTTTGATGCTAATGCGATACAAGTGTCTGAACATCTTTATTTCAGGGTCTAAAGAAACAGGAGTCTGCAGCCGTGCTAGTGGCCTGTGGCGCTTTGAGCTAAATGCTAACGTCAGCATGCTAAGTTTAATGTTCACCGTGTTAACTGTCTTAGTTTAGCGTGTTAGCATTTGGTAATTAGCACTAAACTAAACACAATGGAGGCTGATGGGAATTAGTTTGGCAGGTATTTGTCATAAACCAAAGTACTGGACAAACATTCATGAATGTTTTTACCAAGAAATGACATAGCAATCTATCATATCACTGGTCATTTCACTGAAACACCCAAATATCAACCTCTTGGTGGCGCGATAGAAAAAGTCAGTGTATCAACAAAGTCAGTAACATTCAACCACTTCGGACCTTGAATGTTTTACACGGAAATCCATAAAGATGTCTGTGAAACTATTCCTTGAATGAACAGAAACTTGACAAAACCAATTTATTTAATTGTAGCCAAACACTGTAATTAAATGAACAATTGGTTCAATGTGAAAGGATTACATTATAATTTTCACTGAACAATTATCTCCCCAACACTTGACTGAAGTTGAATGGATATCTGTGATCTTTTACAATTTCAAAAAAAGGAAACCATGAATCGCTTTCTGAACATCCCATCACAGGCCAAATATAATACAATTTCCATGACACGATTTCAAAGATAGTTCTTTTTTGTCTGTAAGACAATGAGCCTGAGCTTTCAAAGAGATCTCAGCAACGGTCCCTGCTGTAATGGGGCCAAATACATTCTTTCATTTGGCAATACTGTTTCTTTCCCTGCATATTTCTGAGAGTGGGGGTGTATAATGACCATGAGTGATGGGTACAGAAGTAGCCACATCCCCTACATGGGGTAGCAATTAAAATGAGTATTATACTGACAATTAAAAAGTATATGAAAAGCCCAGGCAATTATGACTCCTACCTCGTTTTCAATCTTGAGCAGTTTCTTCACTGCCACCTCTTTATCCTGGGAGATCCACCTGGCTCGGTACACACTCCCGAAGCTGCCGCCGCCACAGTTCTCGTAGAAGTGGATGTCATTGAACGTGATTTGCACGAAGGAGGCGCTTGGAGACAACATCTCATCTCATCGGCACCAAGAGTGCTTCTGTGGAGGGGTCACAATGAAGGAAGGAAGGAAGGAAGTTCACTCAACAGAGTCCTGTAAAACAAAAGGACTCCTGCTGTACAAGACGCTTCAAAGAATAGCTTCACTCTGAAATACACAGGTTTGATGAGACTCCAACATGACCTGGAAAAGGGGGCAGCTGTGGCTGATTCTGCATGTCGTGTCAGTGTGAAAGCCCTGGTTTTAGCTCTGTCATTCACAGACCATCTCTTTTCTCTGCTCCACACACACTCCTCATCATCAGTATCAGTAAAGCAATGAGCTCAGGGTCCAGACTCTGCTTGTATAAGGACGATGGCATGCCTGGTATGCTGTGGTCATGCAGCCAAAGTCACACACTGTTCCAGCAGGGTCTACGGTGTTCGGTACAAGTAAGGCCACAAAAAGAGAGCGAGAAAATGGACTGTCTCTGAGTGTTTCAAGACAAAACCATAGAGAAAAACCGCATGTTCTCTAAGGCCATACATCCACTATACCATGTCAGGGTTAGAAATGTGATGCTCCCAAACTAGAGTCCACACACATTGATTATCGCATCCTTTTGTTTGTCTGTAAGAGCATAAAAGCATCTTGTAAAAGACATAATTCCATCATTACAGGAAATTGTAGTTCTGTTATTGTTCATAGGTTTCCCATTTCAAGCTGAGCAATTATGGCTTTTAAAAGGCTGTTACCTGGGTATTCATTGGGATTGCTATCCATCACAGCGGGAAATGCCTCCATTGTCACAAAGGGGGGCCATTGCGCTCTGCTGATTTACTTGTATGCATGCTATACTTAGACTCACAGCAATCTGCTCAGTGGACCAGCCCACTGTATTGTCGTCCACTCAAGAAGCCAGGGTTACTGGGATATGGTAGCACTCCTTATCTCCTTCCTGCCTGTTCTCACTTAATAGCAAACACTGCAACAATAACGGCCTGATAGCCATATGTCAAGTCGTTACTCTAATCAAAAATAAATGAAAAATAAATCGCACAAAGCAAGCAGATAGGAGGGTGACCTGTCAACTTTTAGATGTTACACCCAAAACAGTCTGCAGCGGTGATTTTCTAATCCCAGACACATATTGATATCACAATCTTAAATAGTTATCAATGATCTTACAGTGCATGGTATTGATCATGCTCTGAGTGGCTTAGATTATTGTGGTAGTTTACACTACATAGCTCTCTAAAGACATGATGCACTGCAAATATGTCTCAATAGTCAAACTTGAAAAAGCCAAGGGCATAGTTTACTGTATCAACAATTGGGAGAGTGGAAAATATTTTCCTATAAATATCAGTATTATTACGACTGTACGTGTTATTGTTTTACAGAAGCCCTTTACAAACACTGCTTTAAGTTTCACACTCAACAATTCAAAACCAAAAGTAAACCTGCACAAGTATGTGTAGCCTACTGTAGATTATGAACCAGCCTACTGCTCATACTCACATGGACACCAGTCAGCCAACATCTGAATACTGTATCCAACTTTTACACTCCGACATTATTAACATACATACCAACATCAAGTGGGAAGCTTTCGTCCCCCGCGTAGCTCGTCGAGGTGCACGTTGCAAACGTTCAGTAAGACAACCGGAGAAGTTAAGTGTTCCGGGAAATCTCATGTGACGATTTTCTAATGTCTGTCCTCACCCCGAGGTGGTTTTACTGGTTACACAACTTCTCCCAGCAGCAGCAGCCAACACAGTGTTTTACACTCACGATCCCAATGACAACAGCTCCCCCCGCCGGACCAAAGTGGGACACACCCCGAGGTTCTCCAACCTTGTTGTTTTTCCACACCGTCCCGGGACGGTGGTGCTCCACGTGTGGTGCGCGGACCAGGCGAGGTCCCCATTATAATTTTGCATAGGTCCCTTAAAATGTTCCAATAATACTGGAACTGCTCTATAGGTTTCATTCTTCTGTCAAATGTCCCTGTGTCAATTTTATTCTGCTGTAATATTCCTCTCACTGTGGTTTAAACATTGTATTGTTATGCATTGTTCAATGAGCTCTTACGGTTCCTAGATTTGCCAGTAAATATTATGTTACTATACTCTGTATCTATCTCTGAAATATAATAAAGTATATTAACTCAAGTACTGTACTCGAGTACAAATTTGAGCTACTTTCACTTTACTTAAGTATTTCCATTCTGTACTATTTTATATTTCACCTCAACTGCATTTTAGAAGCCAATACTTTTCACTTTTTACTTCATTTATTTGACAATATAAGTTACAAGTTACTTTGCAGATTCAGGTTATTAATACAAAATATAAATCAACTAATACATTATGTATTATTATCAATAATTAATTAAGCTAGTAGTTGCAGTTGAAACATTTAAGGTGATTTATACATTAATGCATCAATCATTATATAATATGAATTATTCTGAAATGGGCCATCCTGTTTGATGAGTACTTTTACTTTTTGGTATAAGTACAAGTACGCTAATACTTTGACTTAAGATTTTGAATGCAGGACTTTTTCTACTAACAGAGTATTTTCATTCAGCGGTGTCTTAAGGAACAGCTCAGAGTACTTCTTCCACCACTGCAATTTAATGCAATCCAACAGATCTGCCAGATTATAATGCTTCTCAGGTTTTAATTAAATCATATGATTGTTGTTGTGTCATAGTTAGTTGTGATGTTGTACAAGACTGCATTATATTAAAATGTGTTTCAAATACACCCCCCCCCCCCCCCCATGTTTGTAAGTGTAGTTGACAAAACTTTAGATTCAACATCATTTAGAGTTTAATTATTATTATTCAGTTCCTTCAGAGCCGATTCCAGAAGATCATGATACTGACTTCTGATTGGAGGTTTCTCACCTTCTATTGCCCCAAATACTGTGCTCCTCTTCTCCTCAATCCTCTCAGATGACGATATCTGAACGAAACTGTCCTATAACTAAACGAATCAGTCTAAGACGTTAAGCAACTAGTAACTTCATGCTCCACTACACTGATTGACAACACATAACCTATTTTATTAAATGGAAAATGAAATTGAAAACTACAGAAGTTATTTCAACATGCCATGATTTTTTAACAATGTATTAATGAAATGGCAATACAGCGCACAAATACATCTAAAATATTTAATACTTTCAGCACACAAAAGGTTTTCAGACATTTACTGCATCTCCAAAGAGAAATGTGCTCGCATGAATAAAAAGGCAAACAATCACAATAACTCTTTGCATGCTGATGTCAATATAAATATTTGCATACAGTTTACAACACATCAGATTCTCAAACTTAAATATGTATAAATATTGTTTGATACAAAAGATACGAAACAACTGAATATCAGGAATATCAAGACTTTGCATTTTTAAAGCATCAGCGTCACACAGTGTTTACGTCACTGATCTGATGAATGAGATTCCCTCAAAAGCATGTTAATTCCCTCAATTGTCGCTCTTGTTTGACTTGCAGCACTGGGATATGAGAGGTTCTTCACCCACCAACAATTACTGCTGTTAAAGTATCACAAATTACTGTAATAAAAGGCTTAACAAGTCAGGCATCTGAAACAATATCCCTTTATCTGAAACCTCATGTGATTGCCTGTGTTGGAGTAAATGCATCCACATGCAAGCGCATGTCATTTAGTGAAGCAGCATCAGAGTGTAACATTTCTGTCCCGAGTGGATTCAAGACCTGCGGGGCTCGAGTCCGTGAGAGAGCTGAGTTAGCGTCCTTTGATTGTCGATCACCTTGAGCTGACGTACGTAAGTCCGAACTTCTGGGTGGTTCTTGCTGGCCAGAGGTGAATCTGGGCCTGAATAAATTGGAAAGAGGAGTACAAACGGTTAAATTAATTATGTAATGAATTAATTAATCAATGTCATTCCCTGAAAAATGAATAGGGAACTGGAGTATAATTTAAATACTTTATTTGTAATCAAGCCATTTGATATTTCATCCCAATTTCTATCACTATGAAATAAAACTTTGGGGTGCACACTCACTGAATGGTTTGCTCCGACAGTATCTCACTATTTTCAACGTGTTAGCAATCATTCGCTGAAAGTCAAAGAGCGATAATCAGCAACAGATATCAGCAATTAACTGAATAGCTGAAGAAAAAAGATTTACACCAACCATTTTCTCAAAATTGACCAGATAGTCGATAAACGTCTTGTTGCCCTCATGAGTGAACGTCATGTCTGTAAAAGATCAATCGTTTAGATGGTTAAAGCTGTTAAAGAAAAGATTCAACAACATAACTGTGTCGTACAGGTCAAAATGATGTTACATTGAAAATGAATGGTCATCAAATCAACAACTCTGACCTTTGATAAGCAGCGGCATGAAGGGGATGATGGGAGGTTCCAGCTTGGCAACTGTCAGTCGGTACGCACGGTGGTTCCTGGACGGGTCCTGTGGAAACAATCACACCGTTCTAAGATCTGACGTCGCCGTGTTAAACAGATCCATCACACTTGCCCGAAGATGATGCTGCAGAACCCACACTTGACCAGCTGATGGTGCAAGAAAGGCTGGACAGACAACTCAAAGATGGAGACGCTTTGAAGTACAAAATCAGTCGTTTGGACTTACCATCAGGTTTTCAAATTCCCCGTAAAACCTCTTGAATTTGCTGGGAAGTTTCTGTGAAAACAGATTGCACGAAAAGTTAACTGGCAGGTAGGCTAAGAATCATTTTGAAACAGACAAAGTACCCACCTCCCAGGTCTGACTCAATCTGCACACTGCTGGGTTACTTAGTCCCATAATGATAGCAAAGAAGGCGTTCAGGTTCTTGTACTCCTTGCAGCTTTGACATAAAACATGGAAAGGTATACATTAGAGTAGTGAATAAACAAAACTAAGCTGAGTCAAAGAAAAGCAGAATAGACAGTGAAACACAGTCCACTTACTGAGCAGCAATCTTGATGAACTTCTTGAGAAGCTGCACCCTCTTGCTGAACTGAGAACACAGACACATCTCTGTGATCACCCAGAACTGAATTTCATTAAACCTCCTCAGGAACAGGTCCAGGTTCACGGTGGTTTTCTTGACCTTCTGCCTCCCAATTGTGTGGTAGACGAGTTCAAGCTGTCGGGCACCAAAGAAAAACAGTTCTTGTGAGAAAAACAGTGCATCGACTCAAAGAATGAAAACAAATGAACTTTAATTTATGCTATAACATGAATGCAGGTGTACTAGCAGTGAATCAGTTCTGCTGGTCTCATATCACAGTCGTACCTCATGTACACAGTGAAAAAGCTCCCAGTCATAGGAAGTTATGTGGTACGCCACATCTTTGGAGCTCATTAGCTCAAAGCTGGCCAGCCGCCCCGCAGAGGAACCTTCCTGCTCTGGTAAAGGGGTCTAGAAATCAAGAAAAAACTGTCTTTTATATTTGATAATTATGTACTGTATCAGGAATATTTGTTTTGCAATTAAAAAAACAAATGCAGCCAAGATCAACTGAGGCATAGGTCCTCATAATATACAAAATATTAGCCAAAATACATTCAAATGTTAAAAAAGAGAAAGGATTATTGTTTGTAAGATATAATAAAATAAAAACATTGATATATAACAATAAATCTGCACATTTAGTAGGTTGCTTAAAAGATAGCTGGATTCTAAAAGTATGTAAAATAAAATGAGAAAAATGTGTTTAGAGCAACAGATTTCACATATGTTTAGTTGTAAGTATGATGAGAATGTGCTGTGTAATTAGAGATTAACCCACCAAAGAATCCAACTGATCCCTCCGGCAGGCAAACAGACGTCCATTTATGCTGAGAGTGGAGAACACTGAAACATCATTGGGCTTGAAGATGACTTTATCTGTAGAAACAACAACATAACACAAAAAGGTTAAAAAAAAGATTTAAATTTGTGATTGTTATTTTATGGAAATTAAATGGAATATTTGAAGAATAAACGAATATTGTACAACCATTCATGGTTCTCAGAGGATGAATTCTACAGTACTATTTGATGGATTACCATGAAATTCAGTAGGCTACAGACCATAGGGTACAGATATATTTATGTAACTTTAGTGTTCCCTTAACGTTATAGCACCATCATAATCAAAATGATCTACTTTTTAGTGTCCATTTGTTAAAAAATTCGCAAATCTATGACAAACCATCAGCTTCAGCTTTGTGTTGAGTGCTAATCACTGAATGTTAGCACACCAACACAAAGAAGCAAGAACCTTGATTGATTATTTTCTTGCAAAGCTTAAGTTCATTGGTTAGAGATAAAATATATGAGCTGTATGATAATGAGCTCCAAGCAAGAGAGCAGCTACCGCTCTGTATCTGTTTACTTGCCTTCAATAAGGAGAGAGCAAGGTTAAGTGTGAACAAGAGCTGCATTAGAGTTTTCTGTAATATCACAACACCAAGGAGCAGCCACGAGCACCAACAGCCTCATGTCGAATGCCGTGAGAAAAACTGGGCTCAAGTTTTTCTCAAGCTGGTTTAAATGCCATTCTTTAGCACCGACTGTAGCAGCTATCACAGTCTGCAAAATCAGCTGGGGATTCATTAGTACATCCCCCTGCATGGGCTCTCCCTTGTTCCACCTTCGACCGTTTGATTAACATGTAGCTGCCGCCGCTCTCACCTCCTGCCGAACTGAGGTTGACCAGGAGCAGGTCCTCCGCTAACCCCAGC